GAAGACCAGGGATGGGGAGGGGCAGGGTGGCCCCTTTGTTTCTCTAGGCTGAGTCCTCCCCGAACCCCTCAGCCATGCAGTGAGTCGACAAAGAAATCACGTTACTTTTTCTAGTTGATCTGCAATTTCCTGGTTCTGTTGTTTCTGTGGAAAGAGTCAAAGGGAGGTGACTGAGATCGTCCCCTTTTACCTTGCTCCCCAGACCACAGAGGGATGGACAGGGACCAGGAGTGGGTTTTAAAGGGAGAGTTCAAAGCTCCCAGGCAGAGACTTTGGGTATAAGGCGGTTTTGCTCCCAGCTACAGGAACAGGTATCAGTCGGATTCCTAGCGGACAATGATGGAAATGCGAGCAGCCGGTTTGAGAAGGCAGAGCACCTTCTGCACGCCTGTGACGGACATTTACTTAGCACACTCCCTGGGACAGGTTCTGTGCTCAACAGCAGGAATGAAAAGGAGCTTTCAATCTTTTGATTTTTTTGAGCTAAAGGGAACTTTGGACACCCTCTAATTCTACCTCCTCGGAAACTGAAGTCCAGAGAGAAGGGACTTGTTCAAGGTCAAAGACAGAGCAAATTAGGGGCAGAGTCGGGGCCAGAACACAGCAGTCAGGCTAGGGCTCCCCCTGGAGGCAACAGTGCCATCAGGGCAAGTGTGGAGAGGGCTCGACAAGCAGGGGTGTCTGGAGGACAGAGAACAGGCAGAGGGCAGCCAGAGAGAGCCATGCCACATGCTCCGCATGCGGGATCCCTCCAGCTGAGACTAGGCCCCCGCACCCCTCTCTCCCTTGGCATCAGGGGCCCCAGCCCCTTCTTCAGAGCCCCACATTGGCTGCATGGAATCAGGGACCCTCTAGACTCTTACCAATTCCTCTATCTCGCTACTGAGCTGTTTGTTTGTTAGATTGCTGGAGTCCAGGGCTAGAGATAGCTCTTGGTACCGGCTCTGAGGCGCATGCAGAGAGGAGGAGTTGAAGGAGGGGTGGGGGAGAGGTAGAGAGAGCAATCATTAGGGTTGGGGGTATCTGGGCTGCCTCAGCTGGCAGCAGGGCACCCAGCCCCCCCTGCTGGGGTTGGGGGGCTGACCTGCAGGATCACTGGGCCACAGTCCAGGGTAACTCACCTCCAGAGCCTTTATATTAGCAGAAGATGCTAGTCCCTCCCCATTGACGAAGGGTGCCGACTAGGAGAGATCACAGAGCTCACATGGAGGTGCTCTGTCCTCACCAAGCCTAAGCCCCCCACCTCCCCCAGTAGCTGGCACAATCTTCTCTGCCTAAGCTGGCCCCGGCTCCCTTCACTCGTTTGTGCCAACCTCTCCTGGTTCTTATCTCCCCCTTGCCCGGCCCCTCCCAAGCAGTTCTCATCTGCACTTCCTGCAGCAGGACAGAAGGATATAACCCATCCCTGGGTCCAGCTCCCTCATCTGAACAGCTTGAGGGAGGAGCCTCAGAGAAGGAGCAACTAGCCACACCGTACCCAGCTGAGCTGACTGCTTCCAGCATTTTCCCTCCCTCTTGGGAACCTCTGCCTCAGTTTCTACCACACTTCCTCCCCCCTCCAGCCCTTCTGGGCCCCAATGTCTAGGGTACCTCACACACGAGACCATTGAGCTGCTGGGAAAGCTGCCGCAGGCTCTCGGTAGATGAGAATCTGGGGGTGGACACAGGAGTCAGGGGTGCAGGAGGCTCGATGGGAAAGGAAGGGTCCCAGGCAGCGGCCGCCCCGACTCCCTCAGCCTAGAAGCTGCTACCCTAGAGATACTCACGTGCTTTCCGACAGGACAAATGGAACCTTTTCAGGATCATAGTTCTGTTTGGAAAGAAACACATGAGGTGAGAAGTCAGGGGTGAGGTGAGTCAAGCTCATCTGACAACCTTCTCTCTCCCCAAAACTGAGAAAAAACCTGGCCACGGCCTCCCCACCCTAGTCCTCAGGGAGGGCGCCTGGCTCCAGGAACCAGGCCACCTGGAGAGAGGAGGGAAGAGTCCGCGGTGGGCCCAGTCCTCCAGGAAGGAAGGGGGTGAATACAGAGCAGGGCAGCGGGCAAAGGGGAGCGGCACCAACCTGAGTTGATGAAGTAGCGGTGGGGGGGAGGACACCACCAGGGGGCATGGTGTCATCAGAAGGTAGTGCCGCTGGAGCAGGGTGGTCTTTGGGCGCCTGTCACAGAAAAGAGCAGGGGTTAGGGGATGGGCGGGAAAGAAGGCTTCTTGCTGCCACGGATGCAGGGGTGCGGAGCGGGTAGGACAGGTGCTGCTGCAGTCAGAGTGACAGTCACACATGCTGGGAGCCACTCTGGCTGTGGCTATGGTTCGCCCACGGTTCAGGTCACTCTGCAGTCTTCTGGCAGCCAGAGCTCAAAGCAGGCCCACAAGACCTTCGTGAACACAGGGGCTGGCTTTCCCTGCAGCGCAGCATGACAGTACCAGGATCCGACCCGTGGCAGCCACAGCAGGTGGAAGGACGGTGTGCCGAGTCAGGGAGAAGGGGAAAGGCCAGTCTGTGCCTCAGAGTGGCCCTCACCATGGGCCCTGCTGGGCAGAGGGGGCAGTGAAGGAGCAGCAGATGGGGCCAACACAGCTCTCTCCCCTCACTCTTCTCTCCTCCCTTCCCTCCTCCCTCCAACCACTGGCTGCGTTTGCCCGACTCAGGCCTTTTCTGGGAAAGAAGCTGCCCAACTAGAAGCCTCTCCCTGTTCCTGGAGGTAAAAAGTAACCCCACCCCAAGATCTTAGCTCCAAAACAACTAACCAACCAAGAAGCCACCTGAGAAACGGAGGTATGATATCCACCCGCTGATGGGGCTTCCTGAACAATCCTGGAGTGAGAACCAGGAGCCTCAGAGAAGCCGCTCTCTCTTCCCCAACTGGCCCCACCTGCTCAACCAGAGCCCCACCCAGCCTCTCTCCGGGCGGGCCGGGGCCTGACATCAGTCCAAGACTCTGGCTCTAGAGAGCTCATGTCCAACAGGCCAGATGGGACGAGGAGTGACAAGCTGAAGCTTGACAAGGGGAAGAGCTAGGGAGCCATGGCTTGTCCAGCGAGGCTGGGACCTGGAGGGAGAGGCTGCATCCCGGGGGGGAGGGGATGGGGGGCTGCCTGCACGCTGGACCCCTCAGTTCTGGCCTCTGAAAGTCCCAATCAGCCCCTTCCTTAGACAAGTGCTGCAGGCGAGTCAAATTGTTTGCACTACTGTCCACTCGTGACCTTTGGCCCTGGAACCTGGTGTTGCCTCACCAAACCTGTACAACCGACTCTAACAGGCCAAAGGGGGGCTCTGAGCTGACCGGGCAGGAGACTTTGGAGGAGTGAGCACCCTCCCAGCATGGGCCCCAGCAAGCTCTAGGTCCTTCCTGACATCTTGAATTCCCACAGATCCCTAGCATTAGACACAAAAAAACTCAGAAGGGGAAAAAGTACTTTTCTGAGGACTTAAATATATATAACATGACTATTTTGTGAACACCAAGTTATTTCACAATTTTAAGTCTTGTAGCTAAGTATGGATTTTTGAAAAAACATTGTCTAGCCCTGACCAGTGTAGCTCAATTGGCTGGGTGTCATCCTGTGCACTGAAGGGTTTTAGGTTAGAGTCCGGGTCAGAACACATGCCCAGGTTGTGGGTTTAATCCGCAGTAGGGGGCGTGCAGGAGGCAGCTGATGGATGTTTGGCTCTCACATCTATGTTTCTCTATCCCTCTCCCTTCCTCTGTATAAAAATCAACTTAAAAAGATCTTTAAAAAACAAAACAAAAAGAAATTGCCCACTCCCCTCAAATGTCCCATTCCATTAAAAACTTTTTATTTCTCCATGAGTCCCCATTTCTGGAAATGCTCTATTTCTGCCCAGGATACTGCAATCACGGGCCTGCATTACAGGAGTAGGAAACCTAAGTGGGAAACAGTTACTGATAAATAGAAGAATTAAAAACAATAGGGACCCTGGCCAGGTAGCTCAGCTGCTGGAGAGTCCTCCCGATGCGCCAGGGTTGTGGGTTTGATCCCCAGTGGGGCACATACAAGGGTCAACCCGTGAATGCATAGGTGAGTGGAACAACAAAAACCGATGATTCTCTTTCTCTCCCCTTCAAAAAAAAAACCACCACCACGAAGGGCTGTGGGACTCTGCGTCATCTGCAGAACAGGGCCGTGGACACAGGCCACCAGTGTAAATACGCAGCTTCAGGATTCCTGCAGGCCTGCACTGCCCTCCCCGTGCCACGCAAGCCCACAAGGTGAGTCACAGCGCCTGCAGAGACCTGACCAGCTGGGCGGGAGCATTCCCGACGACTGAAATACTCTCTAGTACCAGCCAGGGGCACCCTGCCGCAGCCTTCCTCCCAAACCTCCCTCCGGCAGGATCTGGCCCCATTTCAGCCCTGCTCCTCTGGCCTGGCAGAGGTCCCCCAAGGAAGTCAATTAAGAAGGAAGTGCCAACATCATGTCCGGGGGAGGCCATCTCCTGGCCCAATGCACACCAGGCTCCCCACCTTTCTGGAAAGTGCTCTGAGAGCTCAGGATCCTGGCCGTTACCTGTACCACACCCTTGGCCTGGAATTTCCATTTCCTCCTCTCCATGTGGATGGATGTTACCCACCTCTGATCTTCAACCCGGCCTCAAATGCCATCCCCTCCAGCCTCAAATCCATTTAAAACCCACTCCTTCCTCAGCCGAGCATGAGAATGCTGCCACACTCGATCGTGCCTCTTTGAGCACAGCCTGCCTCCCTCAGTGGGCATTCTATTTGGCTCCCCTACTTTCTCTGGGGCCCAGTCAGGTGCCTCTGCTATCATGGGCCCACTGGCTACGCTTAGGTGTCCATATTTGATTTTTACTCCCTTTCTCTTAACGCTATGTAGCTGACTCTCAAAGCAAAATTAATCAGCTGGAAAAATCACAAACTGCTCTGAGGTCTATTGGTCTTCTGGGGACAGATGCTCACAGGGCAAGACCAAAAGGTCTGATTTTATTTAATCTCTTAGTCTGAGAGCACCGCTGGACATCCAAACCTTAGGTTCAAAAAGCCCAAATCCCACCCTCCTGTTCTGGAAGCTATCACCTTTAACAATCAAGGTGTATCTCACCTTCTCCAAGATGATAAAAGATGTGGGGGAAGAAAAAACATACCCAATCAACCAAGCAGGCGAAAAAGCAGACATGAACAGGCCGAGAGTTAATGATAGCAACATAAAAATAAGCCAAAGTACCCCCCAAACCACAGAAGCCTCGGGGACATGCACAGCTGGGAGAGAACAAGCCGGAGAGGGGTCTCAGCACTGCCTCACCTTCCAATCGTCCAATGGGGAGAGCGCTACCCCATTGGAATGGTTAAGGTCGGACACCAACACCTTCAGAATGTCCTGAATCTACAGGAAGCGAAAAGGGGAGACAAGGGCAGGGGAGAAAGAGAGAAGTGGCTTAGAGGGAGGCGAGAGTCAGGAAAGGAGGGAGAGATGGGTTCAGGGAAATTACACTCTAGAGGAGAGAGAAGGGGATCAATGCCACGGTCTGTGCCATCTTTCCATATAGCCACTTGCTGCCTTGCCACAGGCAGAAATCAACACCAATGAACAGATGGAAAAGCCCCCTGAGCAATGCAGTCACAGAGTGGAGTCACCTGACGAGTGCAGCTCCTAACGCACTCGTCAGACCCTATCCTCAGCTGGGATGCTAGGGATGAAACTGGCAGGGCTCCAGACCCCCCCTCCACTGTAAAAAACAGACTTTCCAACAAAGGTTGGCTTGAACAAAAGGGATTACACCTAAAAATAAGTCTGCAAGACACTGATCTAATCCAACAATATCATCTTACAGATAAGGAAACTGAGGCCCAAGGGAGGAAGTGATTTTCCTGAGGCTGCCCAGAGATGAACTTGCAACTCCTAACCCAGTGCCTGGGGCTCTCCCTACCACACCTTGGGACTCTTTTGGTGCTTCCTAAAGGGGAAGCCCAAAGGCAAGTGGCTGGTGGTTCTCACAGCCTGGCTTCCCCCTGAGGCTGGGGATGAGAAAAACCACCAGAGCAGCAAGTCCAACAGCAACTACCCTTACTGGACTTTTACTCCACACCAGGCCCTGTATTGAGGATTAGTATAAAAATGTCATTTACACTTCATAAGTGTAAGATAATATTAGCCTGATTTTACTGATGTGGAAACAGAGACCCAAATGGCCCCAAACCATATCCCTTGCAGAGGGAGAGGTAGAATTAAGAATTCAAGCCCTGCCCTGGCGGCGTGGCTCAGTGGTTGAGCATCAACCTATGAACCAGGAGGTCAGGGCACACGCCACAACTGCCAGCTCGATCCCCAGTCGGGGGCGCGCAGGAGGTAGACGATCAATGGCTCTCTGTCATCATTGATGTTTCTATCTCTCCCTTCCCCTCTCTAAAATCAACTTTTTTAAAAAAAGAAAAAGAATTTGAGCCCACCCGGAGCAGCTCAGCTGGTTGAGTGTCATCCTGTGCACCCAGGGGCTGTGCCCTGGATTCTCCGTCAGGACATATGCCTGGTTTGCAGGTTCAGTCCCCAGTTGGGGCACATACAGAAGGCAACTGATTGATGTTTCTCTTTCAAAATGATGCTTCTCTCAGCCTCTCCGTCGCTCTCTCTCTCCCTTCCTTTCTCTAAGCATGTCCTCAGGTGAGGATTAAAAAAAAAGGGGGGGGAAGGGGGAAATTGGGAGGCATCTGTGATACTCTCGATAATGAAAATAAATTTTTTAAAAAAAGAAAAGAACTTGCCCAGCTGGCGTGGCTCAGCAGTTGAGCTTTGACCCATGAACCAGGAGATCAGGGTTCGATTCCTAGTCAGGGCACATGCCCGGGGTTGCGGGCTGGATCCCCAGCAGGGGGTGTGCAGGAGGCAGCCGATCAATGACTCTCTCATCACTGATGTTTCTCTCTCTCTCTCCATCTCCCTCCCTCTCTCTGAAATCAATAAAATATATATTTTAAAAAACACAAAACTCAAACCAAGAATTCTTAACCAGTACTTGACTCTTCTCCCGCAATCTTAACCACTACCCTCCACTGGCCCCCTTGAGCAACCCTATCCCCAGAAGCCAGACTCACATCCTCCGGCGAGTGACCATCAGAAGTGCCTGTCTCAGGGCTGCTGCCATTTTTAGTCTTCTTTTTCTTCTTGGCTCCTGACGGAACGCCAATGCCTCGCTGCTGCTGGAATTCTCTCAACTGCGAAAAGGAAAAGCAGCGAGGCTCATGACAGCCGTGAAGCCCTGTACTGACACCCCACTGTACAGCTTCCGATCACATGCACCGTCCAATCTAATGCCACAGCAACCTTAAAAAGGTGTTGCAGTTCTTACTTAACGACCCAAGAAATGGGCTGATTAACACGGCCTTTTTAAAAAGGCAGTAATAGAATTTAAACTCAGTCTTCTGACCCTGGGTTCTGGGGGTTATGCCATGAATCAGTAGCTGCCAGGGGACAAAACCGGAGCTAGAGAGAGGAGGTAAACATTTAAGGGATCGGACATAAGGGTCCCTTCTTATGCATCTGTTGGAGATGCACACCACGGCTTCTCAAACTTCTCCATCAACGCAGCCTGACGGCAGAAGGCGGTGAAGGTGCGCAGCCCTAGAGAATCTGGGATTGTGCCCAGCCAGCGCAGCTCAGTGGTTGAGCATCGACCTATGAACCAGGAGGTCGCTGGTTCGATTCCCGGTCAGGGCACATGCCTGGGGTTGTGGGCTCGATCCCCAACGGGGGCCGTGCAGGAGGCAGCTGACCATAACTCTCATCATTGACGTTTCTATCCCTCTCTCTCTCCGAAATCACTAAAAACATATTTAAAAAAAAAAAAAGAGAAAAATTCTGGGATCAGATTTCAAAAAAAAGACAACCCCAGCACCCTTTCAGGAAGAAGTCGCTCTTACAAATCTACGTAAATGTCGCCCCTAAGTGTACTGACTTAGAAGAGGCTTTTCCTCTCTCAAGAGGATCCAGCAAAACGGCTGCTTCAACCCCACATTTATCGGGTGGCGCTCAGGGCACCCCGCGCGGAGGCGAGGCCTGGGGGGGAGTCCCCGCTGCGCCGCGCGCAGGTCCCGGATCCGCTCCACGGAGGATAAAGCAGAGCCCGGCCTCCGAAGAGCACGCGCCGGGCGGCCGCGGTCCCGAACCCCAGGGAACCGGAACGCGGGGCGGAGAGAACGCGGGCGGAGCGTTTGCAAAGTCTCTCTGGGGAGAGTGGGGAGCCCGGGAGAAAAACAAACTACAGCACAGGGCCGCCTCCCAGGCGT